TGTGTGGGAGCAAATAAACCACAAATCAGTGAAGATCTGTCACAGTGTTAAAAGCTGGAAAAGAGCCGACTCAGCAGATCCTCATGTTCAGAGAGGACAGGTTCAGAGGACCAGACATGGAGAGAGAAGGAGAGGTGAAAGGACTCTACCTGATTTTGATACTACTAGTTCATTTGAAACAGTGTGCAGTGGTCAAACCATAGACTGTATAAAAGAAGTGGACTTAAACGAGTGTGGTGTCACCCATAGCGTTCAGCGCCGCTTACAGGAGCAAATCTGGAGCCAGGCTCTATGTTATGAATAGGATTTTTTGACGGACAAAATAGAGAAAAAAATTCAGGATCATGTGTCTCGGGTTAATACAAACATTTTACGACAAAAATGACAAGGCTCACTGTAGCAGTTACAGAGAGAGGGACGACAAGATCCTAATGTAAGTCAATTGGAGCCAGAGCCACAAGGAGCCGGAAGAGCCTCCTGGCAAACTTCCTATTTGAGATGCGGTGGCTAATGCGTTAGCTATGTCCACTCACATATACAGTCTATTTCAATTTCAATCTCAAATTCACAGAGGGACAAACTAAAAAAAATGGGACTAAGTCATGGGCTAAATATTTATTGAAAAATTTCAACATCTGCATGTTTTCTCTTCTTTCGCAGTATGTAATGTTAAACCTTTTCTTATTAAAATAAATGTTAAATAATAGTTTTGCTTAAACATTGAATCCAGAACAAGCCTAATATAAAATAATAACACAATCATAGCCTCTCCGTAGCCAGCGGGCAGCTCTAATACATATTTGATATGATCTCACAGGCCATATATAATTATATTGCAGGCCAAATTTGGCTCCCGGACCTGAGTTTGACATTTCTGCTTTGCACCATGACCTCTACATTTCATCTGTATTCCACTGCTGCTGGAGAATAGGTTGGGTGTAACTGACGACCAAATTGGGAGAAATGTTGATAAAATCTGATGCAAATTGATGATAAAGGAAATGTGGGAACATAGGGCCTAATTTTGGAAGAAAAAAAAAAAACACTTTAGAAATGAGGGAACATATAGGTCCCAACAGACTAATAATAAAGGGTTACTCAAGCATGTGTGAATGAAACAAAACACAACTCCAGGTCTGTTTTTGAGGAGGTAACACAGTTCTAATGTGGCTAAAAGCTCACAAGAGTCAATTTTGTGCAATATAGGACCTTTAAACACTTATGCATTCTGAGCATCGCAATTATTCACCACAATGAGTTTACAAGTGCTTTTCACAAATTTCAGAAGCCAGAGTGGAGTTCTGCCGTCACGCTGCAGCTAACACCAACGAGCATGCTAAATGTTGTTTTGTATTTCATTGGGCTAAACAGTGGAGAGATGGTTCTTCAACACAAACCGCAAATCGCTGTGAATCTGTGAAAGCAGTTAGCTCAGCAGATTAGCCGACGCAGATAGGAGTTCAGAAGGACGGCTCTTGTGTATCCAGAGGAGCAGAGGGGCGAGGGGAGGGGGTGAAGTGTGTGTGCGTGTATCTGTGCATGTGTGTGGTGTGGAGGGTATTTATCACATTAGTTGGACTCAATTCCATACACACACTCGCATCACGGGGACTTGCGTCACTTATGAGGACAAAAATCTGCTCCCCATGACGTAAATCCTTATCAGACCAAAAGATATTTAAAGTCCAGATATGGTTTTGAATTTCCCTGGCAAGTCCAATGAGTCCTCCCTTCACCGTGCCTCGAGCTGGAACCAAACATGAGCGCTATTGAGTTTTGATCACTGGCGAAGGAGCTCATTGGTCACTCAACATTTAGAGTTTAGTGCTTCGCTCATTGAAAGGGATGCGCTGATATTGGCACCGATACTGAAAAAGTTGGTTCCATGATATTGGTTAAGCGCCTACCCTGGTTGGGCCTTTGATTGCTTGACAGTTTTTTTTTTCCGATTTTTGAGAACGTCTCTTAATGTTTGAAGTTTAATTCATACAAAGTTGTTCAGTATTGATGTGAAGGATAAATAACAGTGACATAACACAATTGGATCTCTTGTGTTGTATGTGTACTAGTATGTTTTAAGGAAGTAAGTGTCATTTTCCTTCTACACACTGCTTTGGGTTAATACCTGCAGATTCAGAACTGAAAAAGTTCTGAATCTGAATCTTATTGATTCAGTCGCCTTGTATGTATTCTTGTATGTAGCCATATTTGTTTTGATAAGGACACAACATCCATGTCCCTGATTGGCTAATCCACTGTGTGTGCGTGCTTGTGCATCTGTGTTTGTGTGTCTATGTGTACATGTTTGTACATGTGTGCCTGTCTGTGTGTGTTTGTGTGTGTGTACATGCATGTGTTTGTGTTTGTGCACCTGTGTGTGCATGTTTGGACGTGTGTGTCTGTGTGTGTTTGTACATGCATTTGTGTGTGTGCGAGTTTTTGTGTCTACATGTGTTTGCGTGCATATGTGTGTGTAAGTAAGTAAGTAAGTAAGTAAGTCTTTATTTATATAGCGCTTTTCACAGATATTTTCTATCCCCAAAGATGCTTTACATAGCATTATTCAGCATTATTCATTCAGCATTATTCATTCACTCTATACTTGGTGATGGTAAGCTACTATTGTAGCCACAGCTGCCCTGGGGCACACTGACATAAGCGCGGCTGCCATGCCAATCAGCGCCATCGGTCCCTCCGACCACCACCATCACTCACACACACACCACTTTCATACTAGGCAATGTGGGTGAAGAGTCTTGCCTAAGGACACACAATGATTGAATTGATTGTATTTTTAACTGACCTTGACTATCAACTGTTCATGGAGACCTGTAGCATGTTTTGGGTTGTGTGTGTTTTTGCGTTAGTGTGTTTGGTTGTTTGTGCGTGTTTGTGCGCCTGTATGTGTTCGTGTGTGTTTGTACATGCATGTCTGTGTGTGCGTACGTCTGCGTGTGTTTGTGAGCATGTGTAACTGTGTGTGTTTACATGTGTTTGCGTGTAGTTGTGTGTATGCATGCATTTGTGTGTGTGTGTCTCCGTGTGTATTTGTGTGTCTGTGTGCGTGCATGTGTGTGTGTGTCTGTGTGTGTTTGTGTATCTGTGTGTGTTTGTGTGTCTGTGTGTCTGTCTGTGTGTGTCTGTGTTTGTGCGTCTCTGTGCATTGTGTGCATGCATGGGTGTGTATGTGTTTGTGTGTGTGTGTGTGTGTGCGTGTGGGTGTCTCTGTGTGTGCGTGTGTGTGTGCGTGTATGTGTGTGTAGATGCAGGGAGCAGAGATCTGGCTCGTCCCGGCCGCAGGTGCTGTCCTCTGCTCTGGGGATGACTGATTTCATTGTGCCTTCATTTCCCTCTGGAGGTTTTATCACACAGCGCGAGACTCTGCAATCCTTAAACCTAATCTCCCAAAGACATCCACTGTACGCCTATGTAAACAACACCGAGACACATATTTTACACTCCCTTTTATCTGCACTTAGCCCGTATACAAACTATGCATAACAAAACAGCGCAGGTACAATGTAGATAAACGTACTTAACTCTCTCTCTCCAGCTGAAGATAATATGCGAAAAAACACTTTATTATTATATATATTCTGATGTACAGTATGTTCTTATGTTGTTTCCTCATCACAACCATCCTTGGAGTTGTGTTTTGTTTTATTAGCACACAAACCCTGTATATTTAGGCTCTTCTCTTATAGCTGTTATCTTGAAAACTACCGCTTCGTGTAATGCAGGATTGCAGGATACTCAGACATGTGTGAATGAAATAAAAACACAACTCCAGGTATGTTTTGAGAATGTAACAGCATTATAACATGGCTTAAAACTCAAAAGAGTCAATTTTGGGTAATATAGGACCTTTCAACAATGAGTAGGTTGTGATTCTGCTAATATGCAGACATGTACGGGAGCCTCTCAGGGACATGCTGTGAATTAAAACACACACACACACACACATATGCAGCACTTTTTCAAACGGGCAAAGTCCCTTTACAATTCCATGCATTATTCATTCCCTCCAGTCTCAGTGCTGCCCTGGGACAGACTGATATACAAGATATTTTACATGTAGAGTAAGTGTAGGTTTTTGTATCAATGACATGAAGTACAGGGTGTCCCAAAAAATTGACATAATTTTAAAAGCAGTTATCTTGAAAACTACTGAGTCTAGCTCAGTGAAATTGAACAGTTTAGGTGTTGAAGATCATAAGTCTATTATGGGACTTTGTCTGCCGGTTTGCGAGTATATTCCAAAACACAAAATGACTTCTCTTTGGGAGTGAACGACATGGCTCAACCTGAAAACAGAACAAAAATAAAACATTAAATATAAAATCTTGATCTGTTTCAATACATTCAGTGAAAATTTTAAGTTATTTTAACAAGAATTGCAATAATTATTGGCCTGAGAAATGCAGCAGTTGCTGGTAGTACTATATAATAATACTATTTACTGGTTGGAATTGGCTTAGAAAGTCTTGTTATTTTTGATTTCTTATTTTATGTGCAAAAATCAGGTTCCCATGACATAAATCCTTATCAGCCAAAATAAATTTAGATTTTCCCCAGACAGAACCTGATTGTGCCAGATTAGTTATATCAGTGACAAGGGAACTCATCGATTCAGTCCCCTGTCATATTTATTCCTTCCTTTTTTCTCATAAGTAGACATATTTGTTTTGATACAGGCAGATTGGCTAGTCCACCTGTCGATCATGCCCATCTGAATTTGGGAAGATTCACTGGTGACCACAATCTCATCTAGTGTTGAAGAAGTGTGTATTTTTTAATGCAAGGTTAAAATAAGTTATGATTTAGGTTAGGCAAGGAAAAAAGTTGGGTCAGTGCATCTCTACTTTAAATTTTATAGTTTTTGTTGTTGTTTTTAGGTAGCAATTTCTTCAGAATGTATCATCCTACCTATATCTCCTCTCTATGACTTCTGCTTGTGCCTGGTTTTTGACTGACTTGTGTTGTTCTTGTATCTTCTACAGCTGAAAGATGGTCAGATCTTCTACGTTCACGACAGCAGTGAGACGGAGGAGGACTCGTTCACTCTGACGGCGTCGGCGTACGAGATCGAGAGGACGAGCCAGCCCATCTTCATCGGCATCACCGTCATCCCCGTCAATGATGAACCGCCCAAGCTCACGCGCAACACCGGCCTCGAGGTAACCATGGAACCCAGGGCGGAGTTTAGGGCCTCAAGGTTGATCGCTATAAAATCAGAATTACAAATGTTGCAGTTGTTTAAAATGTGACTTAATCCTATGATTAAAACGTAAATCGCAAATCTAATTACAATCACAAAAGCTTCTTAGAAAAAATTTAAATATATATTATATTTTTCCCAAATTGTGCAGTCCTTGTTGAGTTCATACAACGTCCCAATATTTTTAAACTGTCTTTAGTTTAAAAAAGGTTTTTCTGTGGCCTGCACTCTACTCGTAACCCAAAATGAGAGACTTATGTGAGACTCTTCTTTCTGATTGAACAATCATCTTGAGAACCAAAACACTAAATTATAGCAAACAACTTGGCCATCATGTCTAGTGTTTTTGTAATTAAGAATAAATCTGTATTACAATTGTTACCAGTGAGACGTACATTAGATTTGAACATGTTTATCTTGTATCTGGGGGCACAGATAGTTCAGGTTTATGAAATTTGAAAGAAAAATTCTACAGACCAAAAAACCTCAGAAGGACCTGACTCATCATTAATGTATTTTAATAGGCTCTATTCATGCTTATGTCACAAACCAGGAAGACGTTTGGAAACATGCAATTATAACTTCCGACGGGCTCTGTTCATGGTTCATGGAAAAATGAGAAAATGTCCCAGTTTTTTTCATCTCCATGTCATTGTAATGTTCCGTTATGTTCGGCTAATCAACATTTAGAACCATACCTCAGTTTTCATCATTTCCCCACTTACACACAACTCCGAGTGCACTGGGTCCATGTGATTAGAAGAGATGAGGCAACAGCACATAAGTATGCAGTCTTCATTTTACCGCTGATCACATTTACTTCAGTGGGTTTGATCACAGTGCCCAGTGTCAGGAACTGTACACCAGAAGTTGTCGTCGCATGTTTTCAAGCGTCTTCTTGGTTTGTGACGTAACGTGAATAGAGCCTTTTACTGAAGCAAAAATGACTGAAGGTTCACTGTCTTCTCCATCCGCACATATTACCTAAATTCACTGTTTTCCACTGCTAAACTGTGCTTATGGTGTTTCAGTAATATTCACTATTGTTTCTAGTTGTTTTAGGCAATGCTAGTGCAAACTAGGTACATTTGTGACATTAAGTATTATGTGACATCACACAGGACTGACCTGAGCACTTCCTCCTTTAGTCCTCCAGGTACTGTTCAGTTTAGCTAGCCTGATTCATCAGCCGCTTTCACTTTGTGGAAACTGTCTGACCTCGCAGCATTAGGATTTGTTCGCTCAACGGTAGGCGGGTACTTTTTTAAATTTAACCAATCGCTGCTATTTGGTCGTGACGTATGTAATGCACCAATTCCTGTAGGAAGAAGGGCAATAATGTCTTTCCCCTTGATAAAATTCACCAAACATTCTCTTTGTTTCTGGCTCGATCTCAGGAATCGTTGCCAACACAGAATGTATGACTTTGTCTACATCCATCTCGACCGCTTTGTTTACTGTTGTGTTGTTCCACAAAAGGGACCCAGACAGGTGCTTGAGTTTGACGTCATGGATTCACAGCTCTTCGCTGATTGGCAGGTGCGCGGTCTACAACTTCCGGGGTTCTTGCAAACCGTCTAGTGTATTCTGATTCCTGACCTAGTCGCTGGAGAGAAATGAAACCGAGTGGAGGCACTAGGTGGCGCCAGCTTGGCTACAGTTTAGCAGCTCTATTATTTGAAATGTTATTGTGGGCAGAGTTTAAGCATTATTTCCACTTTAAATGTATATTGTGGTTGCTGTCATGAATACATCATTTTCTTCTTCTATCTGAAATACCACTTGCTGATGTCCCCAACAACTACGAAAAGATTACTAGATTGCTTGCCGCTTTAAAAACAGTTAAAATAATAGTGTACTCCAAGTGGCAGAGCTCATAACAGCACACTAGCATTGCCACTGTGAACTGCCTATAGCTCTTACACATCTTTGAACTCACTCTGAACTTGTGAAAAGTTGGTGAACTAATCGTATTCTGGACATTTTTCAACAGCGCATAAAAACTGTATGAAGCCAGATTTAACGGCACCACTACGGAGAACCTCAATAAATGCAAGATGGAATTTCACACTGGAATGATTGGGCTGTATATGTTTCTATGCGCAGCTATATGTGGTTTCTGCATATGTTTGGGCCTAAAGAGCAAACAATGAATGGAATTCCAGTTTAAAACTACAAAAGTTGATGAAAGACAAGAGAGACGATTACTTGCATAGAGGTCTACCCATCCAACCGTCTCAGTTTTGGTATCTACATCGTGCACATTTTCTTTAAGAAGTTGTTCTTGTAAAGTTGTAAAGCTGTTTGACATCGTAAAGTGGGTTATATTTTCCCAACACGACAGCGCCAATACTGTAAAAATTTGCCGGCTTGCAAATATTGGTTGTCCCGGTTAGACATAGAAACTGATGTAATAAGACAATTTCTTTTGGCTTAATTTGGTGGGGTAATATCTGTTGTAATTATAAATTATAGTTTTACACAAATCAAGAAGCAGTTTGTGAAGAAAAGTTGAAAAATATGTTGAAAATTACAGAAAGTAGAGAGTTGTATTTTAGAGAGTGATGACATCACACTGAGGAGAGCTCTATCCAAACTTTTGACGCTAATTATAAAAGAAACACATTTTCTCTGTTACTTTAAACATGATTTTAACAAAATAAATGTGTTTTCTTCTATTTTTATTTGTCGAATTATAATTTCAGTGTATATTAGAGGAGTTGGTAGTCGATAAATCCAAGTCCGTCCTGCCGACATCCTGTGTAAATGCGTTTCATTGCAACAGTTGGAGAAAATATGGATGCCCGAGAAAGTATAATGTAATGTGTAATGTCAGGTATCACTAGCTCCTGCGACTAAATAGAATCTGTTAGCTAAGGTTAGCTGTTAGTGATTCAGTTATGACAGTTTGACGATTACATGTTCAGAAAAAAACTTGTGTCTACTGTCGAATGATGTGAAAGAAAGTCCAAATGCTACTACAGAGTTTTTAGAAGACACTTTCTCTACACAGACACAACTTAAAGGCCCCATCTCGTGCAAAATAACTCTTTTCACATTGTATCTTCTGTACATATACAAGCACAATTTGGGTTTTGGAACATCTATTACACAATAGTTATGAAATCTTACTGATTTCTTGGAGGCAGTCACAGCCCTGGGACTATAAAAGGCCGACTATTGCTCATTCCCCCGCCCATCCTGAGAAAGCACAGGCTCCGCCCTTCAAACGTGATGTAGGCTCTGAGTGAGCCGCCCTTCCTCCGCCCATCTCAGGGAGGGAGGGGGAGACAGGCGTGCACCTTGTGGCATAAATGTACAGCCCTGCAGCCACACAACTCTTTTAGTGGTCTGATAGTGGTAGGAATAAACTTTTATTCATCATGGCGATACAGCGTGTTCAGCCTTATGTGTTGGACCCGGAATCAGACGAGGACTTTGAGGTGCATGAAGAGCAAGCAACATGTCGGCATCAGCTGAACATTACTGATTGGTAGCATTAAGTATTGATAAACTCTAGGAGATTAACTTAGCACACCTTGCTTCTTCTGACAGCATGCCAAATAATTTTGACTTGCCATCGCAGCCAAATGTGCACTTTCTCCATGAGGACATGGTTACAAAAACTGCGTTTGAAGCGAAAAATAAAGATAAATAACACAGAACAGCAGACCTGTACGGTGCAGAAGCAGGATGGTGCGTCAATGGGTGGAGGTGGGGCGGAGGCGTTGAAGCGGGGGAGGGGGGCAGGTGCGAAGCTCTTTCTGCTACGTCAAACGCGTCATAGGTGATAGCTGCCGCATCATCGTTGTAGTAGCTTTAGTTCGTTGTCACGTGGGAGGGTGGCAGAAATACGCAGTAATTTGTTTAAAAAAAACACCAAATCAATCTAAAAACCACTTCGGCGACATATACAAGGCCCACACATCACTTTTAGAAGGTAGAAAGCTCTGAAAAGTTGATTTTGCATGAGATAGGCCCTTTAACATGTCATAATGACCAAAAGATAATTTCCCGGTTTACTGTGTGCGCCACCATTTTTGCTCTGACGTAAATCCAACCGGCTCGGTCTGTGCCAAACTAGCCCGAGTTTGTGTTTCAGGACCTCGATTTGATTGGCCGTTCCATTGCACTTTCTCGAGGTGGAGGGCAACAGAATGCAGCATTAGCCCAGTGTACTATATCGTTCCAAGGAGACTGTTATGGAATTCCCTAACATAAAGTAAAATTTGAAACCTAAAAAATGCCAAACTGGGTGGCAAATGTTTTATCAAAATCTTAAATATAACTTAACTGTGTTTTAGTGAAATGGGTAATCTTAAAAGTTTTCTTTAAAGGTGAACATTGGACTTGTTATTCCTTTGTCTGGAATGTTTCACGGTATGACATTAAACCTTTCTATCTTCATGGAGATCAAACCAGACTAAGTCACAGGTCAGATCTGTGGGGAGGCGACCCCGCTCACAGTAGAATGCCTGTTTTTCTAGGTATTTTTGAGCTATAAACCACCTGTGGAACATTTCAGGCAGAGCAATGACATATCCATAGAAACACACAGAAGAGTTACACAATGCACATTTAAATGAAGTAAAACAACAACTCTTTGCACTTAAAATAAGAAACAAAATTGAATATTGCTTGAATTAAGAAAAACACGCTTATTCCATTTGACTTGTGAAGCTGAATCAACTCAAATAAAGTCAGATTCTTCTTAATTTAAGTCATTTAAACGTACATAGATATTGCTTTTTGCAGTGCAGTATTGAAATCGGTATCGGGACTGAAAAAGCTGGACCGTTGCATCCTTAATAACGCCTTTATTATTTCATATTTTCTGTGGAGGTCCTGTACCGTGGCTGTGTATTGTGCGATGGAGGAGGGAGAGTTGAAAAGGCAGCAGTAATCAGCGCAGAACTGGAAGCCCTCTGTGTCACTCTGCCCTCCCCGCTCTGCCTGTGG